TTTGTTGGTCTCTCGCTCAACTGCACCACACACATAATAATCAAGGGGCTTCAGTCTGGGGAGTTAGTTGACCAGATGTAAGAAGTGATGCGGTCGCAAAAATTGTCTGACACCTATGATTGGGTACTCCTGTTTGTGTATTGTGGTGCAGAGTCCTGTTGCCAGACATAGGGTATTCCAGCAGTCACTCTCTTGACCCAATGGAGCACTATCTCTTCAAGGCACTTGATGTAGACCTTCGTGTTGACACTGAGGCCCTGTGGGAAGATGAATGGAGGCATAACGTCGCCACCACTAGAGACCGCTCCAAACACCTTCGTAATCACCATGAGTTCTTTCCTCTGAATTGTCTTCAGATTGACACCCAAACATTCGGAAATGTTTGTATTGGGGCTTCCAGCGCGAATGCCAAACAGTACAGCATGCTTTTCCAAATTTGTGGCGGAGTGAATTTCATGTTGGTGCTCTTTTTCTCACAAACGGTGCCCAACTGACCCGACTCTACTTTGCAATCGACAAAAAAAAAGAAAAAAAACACGCAGTCTTAAAATTAAAAATATAAAATGGCGACGATTTACCCATCGAACTCTGTATATACTCTTAGTATACATTTTTATTTTACATCGAGCACACAATTTAATTCTACCAAAGCTCACTCACACTAGTTGTTCCCTAAACCACGACAGCAGCACTTAATATGGTGAGGTCCTGGCCCTATACTCGCCTTGTTAGCGTGCTAGTCTAGTAGATAGTTACAGGTAATGAGTTCTATCCTCGCCGGCTAAGCTGCACGTGTATCGCTGTACTTGACTAAATTTATTAAATTATTGTACAGATTAATGCATTCAATCCGATTAAAGGCGGTTTTTAAATTATAACACTATTTAGATACCGAATGAACTTATATTTCTTTCCGGCGATATTATAAACTATCATGCTTTCTTTTCCATAATCTTAAATACTCGACAAATCTTCCGTGAAATTAAACCAAGAAATTATAGTACACGTTCTATTTTATGTGACTGACTTGCGTTGTCCATTTATGGGCAATAAGCCGGCTCGTAGTGAAATGAACAAAACCAGTTTATCTTGCTAGCATTTAATATTAGGGCCAAAAGCTATAAACATTTTTGCCTGAGCATTAAGTCAAAGACGGGCAGGCAGTGAGAATCTGTTGTTATGGAGTAAGTAAATAGTGGGAGGGGGGGACTTCCTTTTTAAGTTAAAGCATCAAGCTCAATAACGCGACTATTGCCGAATCGGCCACACGTCAATTCTGCGTCTAAAGCTGGACGGCTTTTCTGATTAGTTTGCTTTTAGTGCCAAAATGTGAGGGTCGGTAAACTAATGTTGGCATTGTCTGTGTAGACGAGTTAAGGAATTCATTTTGACTTTGGAATAACTTATGACAGAATAATTCCCTTTACTCAACTGAATTCCGAGCTTCCCACTGCGAATATTATGGACATTGTCCAGTTCTTTATGTAGCCAGATATATTTTTATATCGCCATCACAAGCAGGTAAAAAATAGTATTGTCTGCCAACGCACAGATATAAGTTTTGATTTTTTTCTGATGTTCACTCTGTACAAGGCCTAAGATCCACTTGAGGTAATTTAAAGACTAAGACATACGCGGGTTAAGATTGTAGTGATCGGGGAAGTATCCTCTTGGGAGTCGGTTACGCAAAGCGGCAATTCGTAGAAAGCCGCTGTTCCAGTGGGATTTACATCTCACCAATGGAATACGAAGGGAATGCGCGAGATTCGCTACAATGTGCGTGGCATGGCGGATCTGAGCCGTGAACGTTAAAACTGTCCACCAGGTCTAACTATCACGGCTAAGACCCGGCTCTTAAAACAGCTAACGAATGTAGTTCAACACTTTCCATGAAAATGGACATAGAGCAGCGAGAGGCTGGCGACCTTTCTTCTGTAGAAAAAGGGTTGCAGGGGGAAAATAATTTATCATCCACAAGGACGCGAAGATGCTTTTGGTCTCGATTGGGTGGAGTGCAGACTGGGCATCTGCTTATATGGCAGCAGTATTCTATTTGAGGCCTGATCTGGCTCTTGTAGAGTTCAAGGAGTCAAGTATCAGGTCATACCATAAGTTCTGTCCGAATTTTGAATAAAGAAAACAAGTGACCAAATGTTACATTTCATTACAGATTCAATCAACAATGTATTTTCCCTGATTATCTATGACTTCCTTCCATCTATTAACAAGCTTACTAATTCCATTACTGTAAAATTCTTTTGGCTTTGATTCGAAGAACTCACAAATGTCAGTTTTAACCTCTTCCTGTGTTACAAAAGCTGTTTCTTCCAAATGATTCTGTAAGCTACGAAACAAATGGTAGTGTGAAGGAGCAAGATCAGGAGAATAAGGTGGATGAGGAATTTTCTCCCAACCAAGTTCTTCGATCTTTTGTGATGTGATTCTTGCTGTGTGGGGTCGCACATTGTCTTGATGAAACATCACCTCTTTTCGATTCACTAGAGCAGGTCTTTTTTTCCTCAAAGCTTGGTTCAAACGCTCTAATTGCTGACAGTATATTTGAGCATTAATTGTTGCATTAGGTGGTAAGAATTCAAAGTGGATTATTCCTTGGCGATCCCACCAGATTGAAAGAATAAACTTTTGCCCATGAAGTTCCCTTCTCGGCTGTGTCTGGGGTCCTTCCCCTTTACCAAACCACTGTCTACGACGCTTAACATTTCGATAAAAGATCCATTTTTCGCCGCCAGTCACAAGTCTGTCCAAAAAAGGTGAAACAAGCTGGCGAGAATGGAGAGAAGAGCAGATGTCAACTCGGGATTTGAGGTTGTTTTCAGACATGTCATGAGGCACCCATTTTCCAAGTTTAGGAACTTGTCCAAGTTGTTGAAGATGACGATGAACAGTTGTATGGTTTGAACTGAGAACCACTGCCAATTCCTCAACTGATAAAGCAGGATTTTCTTCAAGGACTGTTTCAAGAAGCTTTTCATCAAACTCAACTGGACGTCCGGTTCGATCTTCATCTTCAAGGGTGAAATCTCCACCTCTAAATTTTGCAAACCATCTTCTGCAAGTTCTTTCATTCACACATTCCTCTCCATAAACTGAGTGAATGTTTCTAGCCGCTTCGGCTGCTGAGTTTCCTTTCTTGAACTCATAAAGCATTATGTGCCTCAAATGATTCTTGGGTACTTCCATGTTAGCAGGGTTTTAATCAAACAAAATTTTATTTTACTGAAATAAAATTTGATCAGTTTAAATGCATCTAAACATAAAAATAATGTTCAGCTCCATTAGACATAAAATACTCTTTAAATTTCGTTCATTTTAACAAAAAGTTAAAATTCGGACAGAACTTATGGGATGACCTGATACTTAAAGGAGAGCTACAGGGAAATGACTATTTTTCCAGTGTCTTTAGCGGTAAATCGAATGTACGACTTGCACTTGTATTTTAAATGGATGTTTAAATCCCAACGCTGGAAACACAGTTTAGTTTCGCCTTCTCTGCTCGAAAACGATATAATGGAGAGCAACTCAGAATGAGAAATGACTTATGGCCAAGCGCCCTTGGGAAATGTAGGAATTTATATCCTGCCCCCCAACTATAGGTTAAATAGTACTATTTGTATCTGGAAAAAATCTGTTATTCTCAATAGAAATTGGTAATGAAATATTCTCTCGCAAATAAAGAGAATTATTACAATCCAAAATATGTTTCATGTTTAAATAACCGGCAAAGTTTTAATAAGCCGTAAAAAATTCAAGCTCTAGTAGAAAATCTTGGCCAATAAATCCTGTTGTTAGCGAAGGTAGTATTGGGTATAACGATAAACTACATCCGGCAGTAAGGCCTCTTTTTTGGGGACTAGAGGTTTTGAAGATCGTGGAATCACCTCTTAATTGCTGTTTCCAGGTCCACCTTGGCACTGTGTGATAACACCTTTTAGGGTCCCAGCTGTGTGCAAATAGTGAACCCTCACACAAAAGCAAAACACTATGAATATATAGAAATATCAGCAATACATTTTTCTATGACCAACAATACTTGTTATCTGTAGTTTAAGGCATATAATTGCGATCAAAATATATAGATTACGACATTAAATAACCCATAGAGGTTGATATGCCGCTAACCAAAATCCAAATATATAGATTACGACATTAAATAACCCATAGAGGTTGATATGCTGCTAAACAAAACCAACCAATTTTGCGAAGGAATTATTAAATGACTTGTAATTAGAAATTTTTTAAAAATTACACTTAAATTTTCACTTGTATTTTTCATCTTCAGGCTATTTTGGAAAGGTTTACTGTTGCTTAAATGTGGCTTTGTAAAAGTTCATTAAAATATTTTCAAACTATTCAAAAGTTATTTTTTTTAGTTAATAGAATCGTTGTCTACAGCTTATCAACCAATTGTCGGGTTATTTAAAGCCATAAAATAGTTTTATATTATAAGAATCTTTTTTTAATAATGGTTTAGTGATACAAGTCTTAGTAATTAACCCAAAGCTGGATGAGAAGAGATGAATTCATACCCTTTCCTAGGGATATTGTTTTCTACGGTCGGTTATTTAAAGCCAGAAAAATATTTTTAGATTGTAAGGTTCTTTTTATTAGATAATACTGGTTTAGTGATACAAGTCTTAATCATTAACCCATAGCTGGAGAGAGAAGAGGTGGATGCATGCCTTTTCCCAAGAGTATTGGCGCGTATGTAAATATAAGGAACACAACTAGGATTGGAACTCTACTCTTGACATTATCATTAATAATTCCAAGCCATTATTCATTACACTACCCGCACATACAAGCTTTAAGCACCTGTTATTCCCAAGCGGTTACCCATCTATGTACTGACCAGCCTCAACGTTGCTCAACTTGGATGAGCGTACAGGAATCGGTGTTTCAACGTGATGTAAGCCAGATAGGGTGGGAGGAGTAGTAAAAATAAATTGTTAAAGGTTACAAAGGACGTTGTAGGATCGCCTATGTCACGAAGAATCACTGCTTTGGTATGAATCCGATAAGGAAATCTCATGCCTTTTGTCAAGCTACCAGCAGTTCGAGCGAATAACGAGCTAAAGTGAAGTTAAAACGTTAATGATTGTGTATTTTTAGCTAATTTTCAATTACTAACTTTGATAGCAGGACTTTACAGGTGTTACAACGAAGAAATAATGAAAGTTAGGATAGGTTAATACTTTAAAGAAAAGATATCCGACCAAAGCTAAACGTTGCTTAACTTCGTTGATCGTACGGAAACCCGTGTTTTAATGTGATGTGCTCGTAAGCTATATTCAAGCGTTGGTTGAATTGGAATTTTCTCGATAAATAATCCTTCTCTAACCGATACCAATAAATGATTCAAGAGTGAAAGACAAGAAATAGTTTTAAAATGCGTTTTGCAAATCAGCGAACATACAATTTTATTAATATTTAATTCCAAATTAGAATAAATTCTAATAAAAAAGATAAAGCAACTTATCAAATTATGAACGTTTTTATTTTTGCCATAAACAGTGTTAGAAACATTGCCTCCATATTCACTTTAAATTTAAGTGTCAAAACTAATTCTGATAGAATATTTAATGCAGTAAGATCTAGCAGCAAAATATTGACAAACAGAATTTGTTCAGCACAAAACTAATTATATATATATATATATATATATATATATATATATATATATATGGCACGGTGGAGTAGTTGGTAGCGGCTCGGATCAAGGTCTTCCAATCGAATCCATTACAATCACTTACGTGTTAATACCCTTGGGAAAGTGTATGAGCATGTAATTAGAAGAGCACACTGGGTTGTATAGCCTTGGATGGCAATTGGTCTAGGAGAATGATAACTCTGAATTCAAAACTCGTGGAAGGTTGTTTGGGTACTTTGTGACACGTAGTATTCATCCTTTCAAAAAATGCGTTTGGTTCTACAAAAAGCCTTCACCACCATAATCATATATATGTGCTGGTGTCTGGCTGTCGGTTTCTGACATCATGTCGAATACGACGGGAGAGTCCACTAATATATATATATATATATATATATATATATATATATATATATATATATATATATATATATATATATTAAACAGGGGGTTATGAATTTAGCCGTCTACTTTTTAATTTGTATTATTAAATCATTATTGTCTGCAAAAAATTCTTACAATATGAAAATATTTCCTGGCTTTAAATGACCCGAAAAAGAGTTGATAAATCGTAGAAAACGAACCAATCTATGTGTGTGTGTTGGGCTAATCTTTTGCCTCATGAATAAAAGTTGCTGAATCTATGTATTTTTCTAGAGGGGCTAGAAGTGTGTTTATTTGAATTATAAAAAAGAGTATTTATAAGAACTTCGTTGATTGGTCAGTACCTGACCAATAAAAAATCCACTTGAAAATTTACAATTGACAACCCTTTGGACTGTCTGCTTTTTGCGATTTATATTCAATGACCATTTAAATTCTAAATTTTAACGTTTTCTTTTAACCATATCAGTATTTTTTTCAATCTTGTTAAAGAATTAAACTGTTGACAAACATGTTTGATTATTTTTTTTTAATATCGTTAATAGACTATTTTATGCGAGATTGTAAGATTTAAGGAAAAGTTTTAAAAAAAAAAAACTCATGGTCAATCACCTAAGTTGTTACATTTTTAAGTTTTTTTTTATATTTTTTTTTCACAGCTTGAATACAATGATTCATTCAAAGATTAAATACTTTCGACACTCGGTTTTGACCTTTTGTGTCCACGCTCATATATATATATATATATATATATTGTGTGTGTGTATTTAGGCAGAATTTTTTCATTCATACATGTTTCATTAAATAATATAGACAAGTTTTGTCTATTTATTTTATGCAAATTCTTTTCATAACGTCTGATAAGCTTAATAACATTATCATTAAACGAAGAAAGAAAATCACAATATTGATATATATTTTTTTTAATCCAATCTTATATGCACGTGTTTATCGTTGCTTGGAAATTATCCATGTAAACAAACAGACTATCATCACTTTCTTGTCTGTGTATTGCTTAATATATTGTACTGTAATAGTAATCTTTGATAATGGCTTAGATTGGATTAAAAAATATGTATCAATTTTGTGATTTTCTTTCTTCGTTTAATGATAATGTTATTAAGATTATCAGACGTTATGAAAAGAATTTACATAAAATAAATAGACAACACTTCTATATTATTTAATGAAACATGTATCTATATATATATATATATTGTGTGTGTTAGAGATAAAATATAACGCATGCATAAAAATGCTTTCCACATACAAAAAACACTCGTTTTTATTCTCGATAATGTTTTATGATAAAAAGCTTATATTTATTCTAAATATTCCTATATCTAAGAGCTTTGGTTGAATGGAAGAGTTGGTAAAATATTGATACGTAGAATATCCCAAAAGAATTCTTTTTCTACTATTTTTTTTATCTCGCACTTTGATCGTAAAAACCGACTAATCCTGGAGTCTTTCGATATTTTTCAGTTTAACAAATGCATACATATTACAAAAGTTTTCAATAAAATTGAAGTTACGATTAGCGAACAATTTGAATTTCCTGGCAAACGTGAGGAATATGTCTGAGAGCATAAACGTTGTTTACGACAAACGCCTGGTTTTTGTGTCTGCTGTCTTTTGTTCTGGTGATTTACGCTTGAATGGGCTTTTCTACAATACTCGCCGCTGTTTGATTTGTACTACAGTGTTTTTTGAAATTTCCCTTGATTTGCATTAGAAATACAACTGAAGTTGTTTACCTTTTAATAGTAAAATTAGGCGTTTTCCATACAGAAATCATTCAGCATTCGTTAAACGAACGGCGCTACTATTGGTTGAAATCTATAAAATTGTTATGGATAATCAGGAGTGATCCCCCCCCCTTATTTTGTTAATCTTCTCTTTGACAGAGCTATTTCTGTTTACTGGGACTGTAAAAGGACACTATCCGCGAATATTGTATTCTCAGTTGAATAAAGCTTTCTTAAAGCCTGTACCTGAGTACTTTTGTCATTACAATAGTTTTTTTAAAACAATTCTTCGGGAAATTAGACGTCTCAAGGTTTGTTTTTTTTGTTTTTTCTTCTTCCCAATTAAGGTGATAATGCTATTAAGACGAAAGGGGTTAGTGGCGGTGAAAGAAAACGGGAAAACTTCAGAAGTAACTTGAAATCCAATCTTAAATAAGAAACAAAAGATAAAACTCTACCCTTGTTCAAAGTACAATTTTGATTTGCTATTGTGGAAAAGTTAAGTTCTAGTTGCATGTACTTCCTCATATATTCCAGGAAGAACTAAAATGGTGTAACCATCATGGCTACTGAACAATTATGCCTTTCCTAAATTTATTACTCTTTTCTTTCCCGCCCCCCCTTTTTTTAATAAAGACATTCCTTGATCCTAGAATTAGCCGGTTTTCTGACATTTTTCATCATCAATGCTTTTTTTTTTTTCATAATGATCCGATTTCTCAGATCATTACAAAGACGTTAACAGATTTACAAACTCTTTTTATCTGTTACAGTGTAACCCGGATATAGGAGAAACCCGGATATAAGAGATTTTCTCTGGTCCCAAATTAGAGCCTGTGTTAATGTATATAAAATAGACCAAACCCCGATATAAGAGAAACCCAGATATAAGAGACTTCTCCGGTCCCGACAACTCTCTTATATCCGGGTTACACTGTACCATACCGCAACAAAAACGGAACATCATAGCTTGATTTTGATAGCGCATAGTAACAGTAATTTAATGTTTGATTCGTTGGTTGATTAGTTTTCTACTGATATCCACAGCAGGTTATTTAAAGCCAGAAAATATTTTTAGATTGTAAGATTTTTTTATATATAATAATGGTTCACTTATAAGAATTACTAATTAACCCATAGCCGGGGGGAAGAAGAGATGTATTTCAGGCCCTTTCCCAATTATATTTTCGCGTAAGTGAATATAACGAACCCAACGGGAATTGAAACTCTACTCTTAACATTATTAGCATTAACAATTCTGAGCCATTATCCATTACACCACCTCACATCCGAGCCTACAGCACTCGACATTGCTTAACGTCCGTGATCATACGAGAACTCGTTTTCAACGTGATCTAGACATAAGCCTTTTCTGTTTGAAGATAAAATTTCCAGTTCAATTTGAAACTGAATAACTTTTTTCCCTTCGTGCTCATCTCAATTTCAGATTTTTAAATAAATCTGGAAAAGTGTCTTATATTGAAAGGATAAATGAGAATTGCGACTTGCTCTGTGAAATAAAAACTTTTTTTGCCAAAGAAATATTACGTAGAAAATTTAATTAGTTTTCGTCTCGATTTTTTCTTTTATTTTTATTAATTAAAATTCTGTATATCGGAAATGACTTGACATCGAACTTACCGGCTGCTTTTGGCGAATTTTAAGTGAGTAAATTGAATTTTTATTTTAATTGAATCTGCTTACTATTTGCCGTGTTTGTCTCACAAGCTGTCGAAGAAAAATGATCTCTCAGAGGATTTTCGAAATATAGACTTATTGCTTAAAGTACCAATGATACTTGTTGAACAACTGCTCATTACAAAGTTTTCAGTTCAAAATTAACGAACAGAATGATAAAGGAACCTGTGAATTATCAAAATTGACTTAATATTAGGGGTGAACTATAGAAACCAAATTTTTCAAAAAAAAAAGTGGGTGAGTGTTTTATTCCACTCATTTGTGTCCAAATACAAGGAAATGGGCCAACTTTTTGAAAATTGGGATGGAGCCAGACCAAAACGTGCCCAATTTTTTTTTTTTTTTTTTTTTTTTCTTTGAAAAATTTGATCTCTATGGCCCAACCTTATTAACATTGATTTTCTTTATATTCGAATTTATCCAGTACAAGCCTCGATATCTACTCAAGGTAAAGAGTTAATAGTTTGATAGGAAGTAAAAAGTTAGAAGAAGATACAAAAATTACTCTTGAAGATATTTTATTCCCTCCCCACAGACACATGGTTGTATATATGGGGAAAAGAATTGACTCTGAGGCATTTTGGAAGACGTTAAGAATTGTAATGGATGTTTGTTAAAGTGAAAGGAACACGGAGTGATTGCCTATTTTAAAAGTTAAGAAAGATGACCAGCCTTTCCCCCCTTTCTTACAATAAAAATTTGTTTGGAAGAGATTGTAGTGGAACTGCCTTTCAAAGTGCATTTATAAAAAGCTGTTTGAGTGGAACTGTTTCCCTGCATTTGGAACACGGGAAATTCTTCTTTTTTTTCCTTTGCTTGTTCTTCTAGATTCAGTAACCCCTTATATCCTAATGGCTTACTGCCTTCTATGGGGTGATTTGATTAAGAAGAAATTTTTATTTATTGATTACTATCGTATCTGTTGAATTGGATTTCTTTTTAACATTAATCTTAGACGCTACATTAAATTTCGATGTATCAAACTTAATTGATTTTGTTTCTTTTGCTAATTCTAGGCTCATCTTAAAATTGATTTGCGGTTCAACTCCGAATATATCATCCAAGTTGAAAAGATTATAGTTGGAGCAGACACAGAGAAAGAAGTAACTAGTTCGAATGTTGACGCTGCCTTAACCGTCGTTCACACTCCCCGATGTCTAGAACCGGATTCTTCTTTCTTCTTTTGCAAATCGTTGTTGTTCCCAAGAAGTAAAAGAACGGAAAGTACGTGTCGCGACTGGAATTATTCATTATAAAATTACCGAAACTATTCTTTCTGATAAACATAAAATCTCTAGTTTGTGTGTTAGGACGAATCTTAAGTTGTTTTAATACCTGTTCCTGAACATTTAGCTGGTTACGTTTAAGGTGCGTCTTGGCGGCAGTAAAATAAGAGTTGCTTTTTTTTCTCTCTATAATAGCAAGTAATTGTGTTCCCTTGTCTTCGATAATCTATATGCTGAGATTATTAGTAGATATACCGTTAGTTACAAATTTATATTAATATACTTTAATATGCATAAATTTAAATAGAATTGGTTAAAACAGACGACTGAAGACGCGACAGGAAATCCGAAGAACAGAATGGAATTGTAAAAGATGATTCGTCTAATAATATATATATATATATATATATATACACACACACACACACACAGTGTAACCCGGATATAAGAGACTTCTTCTCCGGTCCCGACAACTCTCTTATATCCGGGTTACTATATATATATATATATATATATAGGGGGGGCTTTTCGTGTTTTTTTTGTGTTTTTGTTTAGTTTTTGGTGGTGTTTTTTTTTTTTTTAGTTCTTTTGTGGGTTTTTTCATTTTTTTAGTTTTTTGTGCTTTTTTGGTTCTTTTTGCTGCATTTTAATTTTAAAGTTCTTTTTAATGTTTTTAAGGTTTAATGTTTTTTTTATTTTTTAGTATTTTAGTTATTTTTGTTTTTTAGTTCCTTTCTTTGTTCCTTTAGTTATTTTTGTTTTTTACTTTGTGTATTGTTTTTTTTTATTTTTTTTTTTTTTTTGGTTTTTAGTACTTCGAGTTTTTTTATAGATGTTTTTTGTGTATGTGTTCTTAATTGTTACCAACATCTAACTAACATGGTGAAATTTTATCGTCTTAGCTCAAGTATACTGTATTGGCATAAATCTTCAGTTTCCAAACAAAAATGTCTTTTATATACACTTAGTTGCAAGTCATTCAATATTTTATAACCAGTGCTTATGGAACTGTGTTCATTATCACATATTCGCCTTTTTCAGAAATAAATCATTTCTGTGAACAGATAATCTAATTACAAAATCACAGTTATTAAATATCATTTCTCTTCTGTTTATCATTTTTTCTAATCTATCAGACGGAAAATTAAAGATTTTTTTTTTTTTTTTTTCTTTCTATTTTTGCTTTAAATTCAAATAAACGCTACCAATTAAACTCTTTCGTAACCAACTACAAATTGAAGACTTCAAGTTGGGTAAAACTCTTACCAATGTTGAATTTAAATGAAATTCTTTATTGTTTTTTTATAATTTTTTGAAAGTATAATTGAATAAATTTTAACTTAACAGATCAATCAGTGAACATCTTCGTCTAGTGGTAGAATGTATAATAAATTTAGTTTTCGCTTTGTTGGAAATATTACTTGAGAACGGAATTGCAACAGGAATAAGTTTTTCCTCTATTTAATTGCATGGAAAGACTACAGCAAATTTTTTCTTTTATTACTTACTGATCCGTCACCTGCTCGCTGAACCTGACCACAATTACGAACTACTCGTCTTTCTTTGTATATATTTTCCGTAATCATAGTTATACATAAATCATGTGACTTGATTATGTGCTCTATACTCATTCTACCATGTGTACAATTATAACCAGCTTAAGTCAAGCTTTTCTTTATAATACCTTATTATATTATATTATCATTGTGATATTTTAGAAAATTTAATTTCTAATGTTATAAATATTTTGTTTAAAGTCTTTCGATTATTAATATTTCTTTCCTTTTTAAAAAAAAAATTGCAGAGTCTGGATCGAAATCTACCTTGAATTGGTTACCATTTGTAGCTAGTCTCTTGAGCATGTTGGGTTTTTTCATTTTGCTCTGCATTCTAACGTCGTTTTGTTGGAACAAAAACATTTCTGGATGGCTGCAAAAAGAACCAATTCCATCATTGAAGAACAAAACCAGGAATCCGTGTAAGTAAACAAAATCAGTCTTTTACTTCAGCTACTACAATGCGATACCTATTATTTAATAATTCAATTTAATATGAGAAAATAAACCTTTGAGAAAAACCCTATATTTGGATATTAATAACGCTTCATAATAATCCAGGTAATTTAGACATTTTGCTGTGATGAAATGACTTTCATTCTATTAGATTAAAAAGCACTTTTTTCTGTTAGACACACACATATATATATATATATATATATATATATGATCGAAATAAAAGTATAAAATTTAATATTACAAGACATTAAAACAGTATTAAATAATAAAAAATAAAAAAAAATCAACAACAAGGGGGGGAAGCAACCGGTTTCGCTCCCGCTCGTCAGGCTTCCACGGGAGATTGAAAATTAAAACAGAAATGTACAGTTCCTTCTTGCATATATACGAACATACATATATATATATATATATATATATATATATATATATATATATATATATATATATATATATTCTTATTATACATTTCTCTGTTTTTTTTTCAATCTCCATTATTGGCATTTTTGTTTTTAATTTTCCAAAGGACGAGCGTGGAGCGATTTTTGTTGTTGAGTTGTTTTTTTTTATTATTTAATACTGTTTTAATATGTCTTGTAATATTAAATTTTATACTTTTATTTCGATCATTAAATTTCGTACCTACAAAAATATCTTTTAAATATATATATATATATATATATATATATATATATATATATATATATATATATATATATAGTTTTTAAGGTGTGCTATATTTATAGGATAAAGTGCTCAATATCAGAGATAGAGCTGACGATTGACTACCATGAAACATCCTGTCGCCTCTGAATGTTGACTAGAATGTACACTCAAATATAAACAATATTTAATACAATTATTTCCTGCTCTAATTTAACTCTAGCTAATAACTATTTAAATATATATATATATATAACCTCTTGTGTTAAGCTAATCAATGATATGCGACAGAAATAACAGCTACTAACTCATAACTAGTCAATGGTAAATAAGCAGTTAGGCTGACCTAGGGTACTTAATTTCGATGTATTAAACGTTGCCTTTACGACGGGAAGACTAACGTTAAAGCATACGGCTGATGTGGGTTGGATACGTTCATTTGTAGTGAGTATTTAGCAGCAGTATTCCGAGGGAGGGGGAAAAATTACCAAACGCAGAGAAAGCTGTAAATGGTTCAGATTAATCTATGCGAAAAGTGAACGGGACCTCATCTGCCAAGTACAAACCAACAAACTGTCTACTGTGGCGCACATAGGAAAATTAGAAGACAGGAACGGTAGAAAGAAATGATAATAATAAGTAAGGGAAAAACTCTGTACTATATATATATATATATATATATATATATATATATATATATATATATACACTCACTCTACACTTTTCTGACAATAGGTCAATTAGATCTCATTTAAATATTCATGGAGACCTACTGGACACTATTCGTAACATACTTGTCGACAACACTAATATAATAGCATCATCTACATGCAAAAAAAGGCTACAAATAATGGAAGCCTTATTAATAAAAACGAAAAAAAACAACACTTAATATTAACTTTGAACATGGTATCTTGACCATGTTTTGAAAAATGAAAACATTTTATAAAACAGAGATACAACAAACTATTTCTTATTTTAATAGAATATAATCCTTGAAAAAGGCTAAATGTATAGCCGAAAGCGCTCGGATAAAAAGAACATTCGGACAGTTTTTATATAATTTATCATCCGAAAAGAAAAAAAAAATTATTAGATCGCATGAGAAATTGTATAAAAAAAAAAAACTAAATAAAAGCGCCTTGTCTGTCGTTTCCAATGAAATGTGCATCAAAGAATGATTGCTGCCTAAATTCACAAATATATATATAATATATATATATATATATATATATATTATAATTTAAAATTTCCGTGTTTTAATGAAATTCTTTCTATTTTATAACTGCAGACAGGCCTAAAACTAAAGTTTTGGGTTAAAATGGACTGGTTTCTATAAGAAAGTTTGAAACTATGCCTACCTTTAAATGGATGCAGAAATTTTCTCAATCATTTTTGAATAGTCTGATGTATTTTTTTACATTATTTATTTTTTAAATCGTTTTTTTTTATCTACACGATTCTTTATAAAACACTAACGTTGTTTCAGTGATTAATATCGTTATTCTGGTTTTGAAATGAAGTGTCTTTTTTTTTCTTTATTGTAGTTCCAAAATGAGTATAAATTTAAATTTGGTATTTAGTTGGCTATCTACGTAATTTATGATTGTATGGAGGTTTGCAGTCTTTTTAGAACGCTGTCCGAGTATAACACTAAATTTGGCATGCTCTTTTGTTTTTACAAAGTTGATTATGTCGTCCAAGTCTGGCATTTTATTTTTGCATAAGTTTCATGAACTTTTACCTTTTTGTCAGTTTCGTTTACTATATATAAAATAGTATAGTGTGTATTTGGGCATTAATCATTCTTGCATACATATTCGTTGAACGTAACAGAGAAGAAAAAATTTGTCAGTTTCTTCTTTATGAGTACTGAGTGTAGAAACAGTCCGCTGTGATTAATGTTCGAATAAAGGACAAAAAATATTTGTCTATATTTCTGAGATGACGTATTGCAACTATTTACACGACTTACGTCGTTCGGACTTTATTGCTATATTCACGATACTTTCAATTTTTATTTATTTATTCCTTTTTACAATTCTACATTCATTTTTTTTTTTTTTTTCTATTTAACCAATTTACATTGTTCGGACTGTTGTCATGTTTGTCATATTCAAAATATTTCGGACTTCGGGTGATATACACTAGAATTTCTAACCGACCCTTACTCTACGGGGATATATTTTCTAATTCCACGAGACATATCTTTTTTGCAGGTGGGGGAGGTATTTCCGTTTCAATTAATTCGATAGGGTAAATAGAAAAAATGTATGTAAACTCGGAAAATGGAATAAATAAATAAAAATTAGAAATGTTCTTTCTCCATCAAAGAGGCACACACACACTCCTAATATAAAAAAAAGGATTGGTAAAAAGAAAAATACTAAATTACCAAGGCACAACAATTACGCTTTCCAGCGTCCCGACTCAAAGGAACAGTTTGTACCGTTACTTAAGTTACACACGACAGCGAGCGTCAAACACACACACATATATATATATATATATATAGAGAGAGAGAGATAGATATATATAGATAGAGAGATATAGATATAGAGATATATATAGAGATATATATAGATATAGAGATATAGATAGAGAGATATAGAGATATATATAGATATAGAGATATATATAGAGATATATATAGAGATATATATAGATATAGAGAGATATATATAGAGATATAGAGATATATATAGATAGATATCGAAAACAGACATTTCGTGTTGATTAATTTTAATGGTCGTCTTTCCAAATAGACAAATAATCCTTCTCAGACAAGTAGGTAATCAGGTTAAAAATTGTCCGAAGTTCATTTCGGAAGAAAAGGTACAAGAAATATGGTCCAAGCTTTCGACTTTCATAAATCATCATCGGAATGGTAGAAAATTGGTGAGTTTCGTAGAATTTGGGAATATTGTGTCGTAGGAAAAGTGTTGTAACGTAAACGAGGTGTGACATGTTTTATCTTTATATACACACACACGAGAATGCAGGCTCTTACAATTGTTTCTTTTATTGATGATTGCTTATGTGTATGTGTATATATATATATATATATATATATATATATATATATATATATATATATATACCCTCCTCCTAAGAACCAAATAACACACGCACAAACACTAAACAGAGACACATCCCTCACCAGGTCCAATAAAACTGTCAAACTGACCAGAGAATTCAGGATAAAATGTATCTATCAGTTCTTATCTCAAATAACAACTTAAAAGAGACTGTTTGACCAACACAAGGAATGTTAAAAGATTCATGTGAAAAAGATAAAAAAAATAAAACAAATGAAAACTACAGACAAAAGTTCATTTTCTCCAACAAAAGACATTCATTTCTGTAGTTCACTGCTAACAGCAAGCAGAAATATTTCTCCTCCCGATGATGGCCATTTCGGTCGAAACTACTCGAGGAATCTAAATGGAATAATAATAATAAAAAACGAAAGAATATTAATCTACAACCCAGTGTGTCTAATGATTTTAATTTTTTAATTTTTTATTTTCTTATTGTTCAAATTATATATATGTGCGTGCGTGCGTGTGTGTATGTATATATGTATGTGTATATATGCATGTATGTGTGCGCACACACACACACACACATATATATGAATTCGGCATAATTATAGGGTAAAGAAAAAATAGGAAACGTTTATAAATGTAACTTGTTTCGCTTCTATTAAATGCCAGATGTTTTATATCAATAAACGTTTCCTATTTGTTCATCCTCCCATCTCGATAAACATATATAATTTTAGGTATGCTATGTTTATACGTAAATGTGCTCAACATCAGAGATAAAGCGTATGTAGATATATAAGTGGTCACTGAGGTAAAAAGCGGACGGTGACAGTTTCACAATTGAACGCAATCTTCAGGCCACTTCCTAAAGATTACTTTCAAGTATAAAAACCCTGTCGCCGCTAGGTATTAACCTCAGTGTCCATTTACATATAATGTCTGAATTGGAAATACAGATTCAGTCTGACAAAATGATTAAGCATGAATCAAGTAGAAAAACCTTTCTAAATATGTTTTTTTTTTTTTTTTTTTTTTATCTGTAAATAAGCAACGAAACTATTGATTTATTATAACAACTATTGTCATCCGTAGTGAATTTGCCGTTAGTTTCATCCGATAATGACCATAATACTTGGT